GATCACACGTGTATGTGTGTGACAGTGAATTTGCGTGAATGTCTGTTTTCCCTCCTCTTCGCTCCCTGAGGCATTGTGAAGAAGTGGGTCAATGTACCATGGCTCCCATGCTAACTCACTGCCCCTCTTCCTCTCTCTCTCTCTCTCTCTCCCCCCCTACCGTTTTCAGAGCTCTCTCAATGTCAATGCCTTGGCTCCAGGGCACGGCGGGATTGGCTAGACAGTCCCCGGCACTGCCTCGTCGAGAGACATCCACACGTTGGCGTCGCAGGTACCTGAAAGCCTCTGCTATCACCAGTATGGCATCATGGGTCAACGCTGATATTCACTATTCAGAGAGAGAGAGAGAGGGAGAGAGAGGGAGAAGCAGCAAAATGCAGACACAGAAAATACAAGTTAGTACTTTTTTTCTCTCCTGTTACATAAACAGTTGACGCCAGTCTGAAACAGAAATAATTTAACCTGACTTTTTTAGGGTATTAAAGGTATGAAGAGAAACTGTGGAGGATTTTTGAGCCTTTAGCTAACAGAGAAACCACCATGCTAACAACTTAGCCCTATGGGTTACATTAGAAGTTGTTGGCTAACATTGCTGTTACTGCTGTACCTGATTCAAAAATTAAAAAAAATGGCCGTGATTACAAATTTAGCTAGTCTTTGCCCTATTGCATAAAAATTCTAATAAAAATAATTTAACTTTTTTTTAAGGTATTATGAGTTTAACGCTAGTCTTTGCCCTATTGCATAAAAATAATTTAACTTTTTTTTTAAGGTATTATGAGTTTAATGAGAAACTGTGAGGGACTTTTGAGCTCTTAGCTAACACAGAAACCACTGTGCCAATGACTTAGCCACATGGGTTACATTAGAAGTTGTTGGCTGACATTGCTGTGACTGCTGTGTCTAATTCAGAAAGAAAAAAAACCCATTGATGCCAGTCAGAATGCAGACACTTGATTACATGCTAGTCTTTTAGTCCTATTACATAAACAGTCTGAAACAAAAATAATTTTCTGTGATTCATTCAGGGTGATTCAGTTTTCAGCTCCGAGCTAATGTGTCCCAGGGTCCACAGGTCACGTCGTCACGGGTGAACTGCTAATTGGGCTGCAGTGACACTGACTCATGATGAAAATAGCTTGATTAGACAGTTATGATTTGAAAAACCAGGACATGCCTGAGCGTCGGGAACACTGTCGAGACTCTGAGTGCAGGGTTCCTAAGAGACTGCGGAGCAAGAACGTGTGATTCCATCTACCCTGCACTTCCCCTCAAACTTCACTTGACCTTTCCCCATTGAGGGTAGAGCCACTTCTTTGTTGACCACTGCACCATGACAAAATTAAATTAAATGACATTCAAAATCTATTTCTTTTTCGATCATTGTTTAATTAGATGTAAATTGAAGCAGCAATATAACCTTCCCTCGCACCCACTATCAATATATCGATGGCTGGGTGGGATACAAAGCAAGAGGGTGGGAGGAGGGAGGAAAGATAAAGGTAAACTCAGGAGATGAGGAATTAAAAGAGAGAGTACTTCAGAAAGCACAATCGTTGTATTCTGTATGTGCTGTAGCAGACCTTGTAAGCAAAGTACCTTCAGAGGAGTGTTTCTGGCTTCTGGGAATTCTCTTTCATCTAGCCTCTCCCAGCGTTGCATAAACTGCTGCACAATCGGATTCTCAGGGTTGACAATCTGAAATCCTGAAATGTTGGCTCCGCCGGCAAAGACTTTGTCCAAGCTCACGTTAGTGAATCCCTGAGATGAACAAATGAAAAAAGTAAAAAAAACAAACAAAAAACCCCCCACATTATTTATTTCCAGTTATTTATTAAATACAACTTGGAGATAAGCACAACAAAAATGTTACCAAAAAATTCAGAATACAAAATTTGTAGCTTTCTTGCTAACAGCAAAATAAAATAATGTCAGTGTCCTCCCTGGATGATTATTGTTATCCCTGGATGGATAACAATAATCAAACATGGGGTTGTATGCCATGCTAGTATACGATTTAAAGAAAATGCAGCATCAGTATTGCATACTGATTCACACTGCTGGATTATTTTAAATACTCCATAAAGTATTCGCTGCACAGCTTGAACGTGGTGTGTTTCAGTTGTCGATAACAATCAAAGTAAATCCATGTGAAGTGCATGTATTATTAACAATCTGACAGAGGAGAGGAGAGAGTATCTGACTCTGTATTGGTTTTTTCAGATACTCCAGGTTGCAGTATTGGTGTTAGACCACCACTCTGTTTTTACACAGATATTTTTTTAGTCTGTGTCAGAAGAAAATTGGTCAATTTCTATTTAGACGACTTATTGCCGAAGATCGCGTAAAAAAGATTATGTCCTACAGGGAGGAGGGTTTTTTTTTCAGCTGTCTTTAAGTGTCCTCATTCACCCTGCAGCCATAATATTCCATTATTTCTTATGGTCAAATTGATGTGTCATCTATATGCAGTTTGTGTCACGGTGGAGAGCAGCAGGTGATCAGAACAAAGAGGAGCAGGCGGGTCTGATGTTTTAAAAATAAACTGATACTAGTGGTGAATATTTGAAGCGTCAGTGAATTCACCACACACAATGGTGAGAACAAGAGTGAAATTATAATTATGAGAAATATCTAGAAGACAATACTTTTATTTAAGTTTAAAAATATTTGCAAGATATTGACGGAGTTAAAAAATACAAATAACCTGTACACAGTAATTTCTCGACAAAGAAAATGCATTAAAAATCATTAGAAAACCCTACAATACACATGCACCCCACCCCCCACCCCCCCGTACTTAAGATTGAGGCACAATGCATGCAACAAAAAGCGGCTTTTACTGCGTCCCAGGAGGGCGGCTCGGTTATTACTCACAAGATTGGCCAGAATGTAGTGGTAACCACGGCTGTTCTTTCCCAGGGTCACAACCTACGGGAGGAAAAACATCAATACAGTAAACCACCCATGAGATGAGAGCTAAGAGCTGGGGCTGGTTTAAGTGACTGCAACAATCTCTGTTAACACAGTGACGTCCGGTGAGCACACAGGGCAGCGGCGAAGTCGAAGCGAGGCCGAATCACCGACAGAACACCAGCAGGGGGTGTCGGTGTTTGAGGAGGTGTTCATTAGGAGGTAAAAAAAGGGTGAAATTAAAATAGACATGCTAACAGCTGAACGTATCCTGTAGAACTCAGCTCACATGGAAGCTGTTGGTGGTGAAAGGAATCTTTTGCAAATGCTGGACAGAAGGAAAGGAAGGGGGGGGGGGGATTTCAAAGGTTTCTGCAGCTAGATGTAAGATGAAGATCTCACTCTGCTTTGAAAATATCACACCTTTGTAGCATAACAGCATGTTTCAACCCACACAGCCTGTCTGAAAATAGTAAATGGTGTTCTAGGCTTTGGTGGAACCATATGTTGTCTTTTCTACTTCTCCTTTTGTTCTGGACCTACAGATAAATCTGATACTTTAATTTGACGAAACTTTCATGCCCCTCACGTCTTCCTGTGTTTTTTTTTTGTAGATTCTGTGCTGAATGGCCTTCTGAGTGGCCGCCGTGCAGAAACTTGTCGACCGTGCTCGGGTTTTCATCTGCATTCTACAAACACAGCCACGCAAGTTTACAGCAAAATCAGCATGTTTGCACATGTTCTGGCCCTGACTCTGTGACAAAAACAAGCTGTCAGTTTATCATCTGTTTGTGTGTGTGTGTGTCTTCAGACCTGGGGACGTTGGATGTTTGTTGCCGCAAATGGTTTAGGATATAGTATTTCCTCTGAGTCAAAGAGAATGAAATGCAAACTTCGTTGTTTGGAATAGAATATCTGAATCTCACTCTTAGTTTTCATTTACTTCAGCTACAGCTTTTAAAATGAATTTAGCTGTGAACTTTAACCGACCTGGAAACACTCACATACAGTAGCACACATTGAATAAACCACTCATCCAGCCCCAACTCCCGTCGTGGACATACACATTTGTCCATTAAGCTGCAGGACATTTTTCAAAAAGAACACCGAGGGGCGCAGCGCCACACAAAGTCTATCTTTCAAACTATCATGCAGCTTGTGTGGGTCAGCGTTTCTCTGAAAGCTTCCCCATCATTAAGACTATAAACTTCCCTCGCTGCAGGATGCCAGACAAATCAGGAGAGTGAAACAGAAAGAAAGAGGAAACGAGCTGATTAGGATGCAGAAATAGCAGGAGTTGGCTTTTTCAATCCATCAATCAGCTCCTAATGAGCGACTGACAAAAACTTCCAGGAAACAAAATCCCAGCAGCATTTCTAATAATGAAAACACGATAAATAAAGTTTATTTATGTGGCACTTATCGAAAAATCAGAGATCAGACAGTTCCTCTCGAGGACAAAACCAAAACAAATCCAACAAACAGAGAGATCAGAGCGCGACAGATTGCAGCCACTCGCTCTGCCATTGTTCCCACGCCTGACTTTTTTGATGTGAATCCCTGCTGCATTTTCCTCCAGACAAACTTCACCAATTCAAACCCCTCATCCACCATGTGCTAACCTTCTCTCTGGCTGCCAGACCTCTTGCTCCCCACCTGCCCCGGAGCTGAGCGGAGGAAGCCCAGCCTTCCCAGCACGCAGCCTGCAGCCCACTGTCAACCTGGCAACGGCTACAAGCAGCTAAACCTGGGAGCACGGAGAGACAACCAAGACCCCGAGATGGACCGGACCTGCGGCCAAAACACTCCCACCTCTTCCCTCAGCCTTTTAATTAGGCAGACAGCAAGACCTGACTCCAGCCGTGGAGCACAGATTTCAGTGTTACAGAGTTGTGATGCACCACTGACTGCCCAGTCGGTAAAACCCTCACATCCTGCAGATGGTGATAATTATCTCCTAACTGTGTTAATGAGATAAGGCCTGTGTTCTGCCTTAAATCGGATGTTTCTTCAGGAGGTAAACAGCTCTGTCGATACTTTATACAGAGCTAAATTCATTTCCAATGCCCTCTTTCCGAGATTAAAACATGCGGGACACGATTAGCCTGGCATGGTACCCAGCATGGAATTCAATTTTTTTCTTCTTTCTTGGATTTAAAATTGCAACAAAATGACAGAGAATTTGATGACATCGATTCAGAAGAAGCAGGTTTGTCATTTTACATCTGGATGCAACTTTAAACTATCCATGAAACCGGAGCAGTGCAGCTGCAGGAACAGGAGGTTTATCATTTATAAAGACCTTGGCACCATGCTGTAAAAATCATACAAAATCAAACACATCATTTTTTAAAAACTAGTGCATAATGCCATTAGATGGCAGTAATGCCACTTAAAACATATTCCAAACCTCTATTAAAACCCCAAGAAGAAGTCAGGGGAATGGATCAAAGCTGCATTTATTTAGTTAGTTTTGGTTAGCTTTGGTTTACTGCTCCACAGAGTATCAGGACTCAGTCCAGAAAGAGAAGCCGTCCTTGGTCTCCTGAGGTTCCTGTCCTGGAGCAACAACACCTCAGCCTCGGTTAAGACCCTGAACCAACCAGATCCTGTATCTTCAGACCTGGCAGTTAGAGCAGCAGCATGACTGTGAGGTGTGGAAACAGCTCTGTAGCAGAGAAGAAAGGCTGCCCACGAGATATGGGTAAAAAGGCCCTACAGCATCAAAACAAGACCCCACCTAGAGGCCAGAACAATGTTTGTTCACCTCTCATCAGGCAGGAAGCTGCAGGGCGTTCAGTGTTGAACCACCAGACAGAGGAACTCGTTCTTCCCAGTGACGGTGAGGCCTTTAAATACCAGTGGAGCAGTATACAGTACTGTAGCAGTGTGGCTCATTGCAGAATGAATCTGAATTTTTCCTGTCCAAATTAGATTTATATAAAACCAACATTTTGTAGAACTGCATTCAACTAATGGCCTGCCTTTTCAAATAATGAAAATCTGGTCTTAACAAATGGGAAGTGAGACAACCAACTTTTTCTGCCACAAACTTCATTTTTGGGAACACTTTCTTTATTGATTCTTTTGACAGAGCGTCATCTGGTGAACATCTGGTGAAGATGTGTGACTCGTACAGTAACACTTCTGTCTTCTGTCGGATATTTTTAGCACTTTTGAACACATTTGGATTTTAAAAAGAAAATTAACGGCATCGGGAAAAAAAGACAGGTGAGAAAAGGACAAGCTGCTGACCGCACAACTGAGAGCTTCTTCTGTTCGGCAGTGACTTTGGAAAACAGTGTTAAGCATGTCTTCCCCTTCAATAATGTGATTCCTCTCTCTTCCTAGCCTTCGCTGTGCCCTTTTGCACGATCGATCCCCTGTAGCTGCCTCTGCCACCTTTTGTTCCACTGCTGGCAGATATTCTGTGTTTTGCAGAGTGGAGTTTCTCTCTCTCTCTTTTTTTAAACGACAGATGGGAAAAGACAATCAGGATGACCTTGACATTACTCTCATTCAGACCTGGCCAGCTCCGCCGGCTGAGCAGGCTCAGAGCCTTAAATGCGAGACTACGGCTACACATATTCAATGAAAGGCGGGTTGTTTTCCGACCAGGTCTGACCTTTTCTACTCATGAATTTGCCACAGCACAGGAAGAGGCCGGCTGTACAGTAAATGACAGGTTCCTCTGTGCTTTAAAGACAATCTTACAGTTTAGTGGAGCATCTAAGAAAGATAACGATGCTATTTGTCAGCTTTCTACTTGTTTCATGTTGCTCCAAAACTGCATGGTACGATTGTGGTTTAAGGACTGTCCAAGGCCTAAACCTATAAATACAGTATAATATAATGAATGAACAAAACAATTGATTTTTTTCTAAATCCTGAAAAGCAAAATTAAAACATTATTTATATCTACTTGTGGGCCGGAATTATAGGAATTTGTGGGCCAGAGGTGGGCCACGGGCCAGGACTTTAACACCCCCAGTTTACACTGCATTGTGTGTAAAAATATCACCATACTATATTTTAGCTGTGTTTTTTTTTTTTTTTCAGCTCATCACTGGACGTTTTTTTTTTTTTCAAGTAGCTAACTAGTCAAGCTAACCGCAGCTCATCACTGGACATTAACTCCAAAGTTGATCAGTAGCAGTGAAGTGCTTCACTCCACTCAGGATGATTTTGACCTGCACATGCTTTGGTGCACAAGGACTCTTCCTCTTCTTCCACCTCTATTTCTGCTCTGGGTAGAAGGGCTCTCGGTGCAGCGCTCTCTAATTAACAGCCAGTAGTGTCTGTGTCTGAGATGATTTTCCTGGCAGCGGCCATATATGCCCCTGAAGAGCGCGTTGGCCTTTCCCCAAATGCAGAACAGTTCAGAAACACTTGACTCATATTCAGATGATTATGATATTGCTCCGAGATCAGGAACAATCTGATGACTCGGGAGGAAGGGATCTCTGACACGGCAGCTGAGATTTACTGATGCCGGTGCCAAAAACCCTGAAACACCAGAAGCTCTTCTCTGTTTCCACTGAAAAACAACCTGCTCTCACTCCAGTGTCTCGGGGTCTCTCCTTTCTTCTAAATTCCATTTCAGATTTAAATATAAACCACTGAGAAGTGAGACATTCTTTTTAAATAACAGTAAAATGGACGTTCTTTTTGGTACGGGGACAAAAACAGACATGGAAGGTCTTCACACTGACCATCGGCTCTGCGTTTATCTCTCTGGTTTTGATCTCTGAAATCCACCCAGGAAGTGTGGGGAGGTTGGGGCGTTGTAGTATTTAAGCCGACAGACACCGAAGCCGCAGCGCCATCTCAAGTTCTATTTTTATATCATCATAAAGTAGTGTAAAATCCACAAAAATCAGTTTTGCTTGTATAAAGAACATCCGTCCATCAATCCAACCACCATCCATCCAATCACACCACCCTAAGGCAGTTCCACAATTTCATTAATTATCATAATTATTACATTATTAACATACTATATTTATATACCACACCATTTTTTATCTTTCAGTTGTTTATGCTGCAGCAGCCAGCCCCCTCCCCCCTTTCCTCTCCCCCCACTCTGTTATCCTCCAGAAAGTGTCTATATCTGTCCTGAATATAAAATAACTGCAAATATATATCCATTCAGGTTCAGACAGATGGAGAATTTGCAGCTCTTCTCAATGCTGATGCAACGTGGCCACCCTTAGTGCCTCCGCAGGAAGTCAAATCTTGTCCTGACAAATCCCCCGTCTCACCCCTCTTATTTTTCAAATTCTCTCAATCCTTTTTCATTTTTTTTTCTTCTCCTTTTTCCTCCCGATGTGAGAGTGCAGCTTTGCGGCTGGGCTGGCGGAGAGCTGGCTGCTTCGGCTGTCTTTGAGCAGCTTGCATGCCCTGGGCCTGTCCTAGATGCTGTTCTTATTCTTTTCTCTCTCACTTTTCTCCCCGCTGACTCCCTTTATACTTGTGATGAGCAGGTTGTTGCTTCTGAGTAGACTCCAGCGCAGGAATCCCAGGAGGGAAGCGGGTGGAGCAGAAGGGAAGGAGCACGTATCGATGGAAAGGCTCCAGTCTGTAGCACGTGTGCAGCAGGAAACTATCGACAGTGTACGATCAACACAAACATGACGAACTGGCTCTTGATTAAACTGTCCTTCACTGCGACACAGGATCCCTGCAGCATATACTGCACTATCATAAAGGTATATGGTTCATGAAACTATTTTTTTTTTTGGGTATGATTCAGGGACAGGGGCTGGCGGAGGTGCTCTCATTTTTGTTTTAAAGGAAGGATTGCCATTGGGTTAATTTATCTGCAGTGCAGTGTATTGATGGAAACGTCTTACGGGTGATAAATCCAGAGTGGTTGTTACAGCATGAAATGATAATGGCGCGGGTGTAGTATTCTTCCCCGCATCCCAAAACAAATTTGTTGGGAGACTGTGTCTGCTCTTACGAGCAAACACGACGGCGCCTGATGCAGCAGTATGCAAATACCCGTCCTACCGTTTTTCCACATCACGCCGGGTGATAAATGCAGCTAATAAAAATGACATTTCAGCTGAGCGTGCTTAGGAGGGAAGACGAGGCACATTTAGTGTTTCATCCACTGCATGAACTGGGATTAGGGCCAAAATAATGAGGCCGTTAATGGATCACGTAGTCAAGCAAAGATCAGCAACTACTGCAATCATCATTTATTTTTTCCCCCCGTTGTTAAATTAAAAAAATTAAAATGACATATACGTGTAAGCATTTTACTGATTTTGCAGATAATTTTGATTAAACAAAATTTGTGTTTTGGGTTTTTATGACACAACCTGGATATATATACATCCCAGTTGTGTCATAAAAACATTACATAATTGTTAACCCTATTCCACTACATATGGACCTGAAGTGCCGTTGTGTACCCCTAAGGGTACACTAACCCCCTCTTGAGAACCTACAAACTATATCATAAAACTAAGCCCCTGATCTGATCCACATTTCCTCCAGCAATCAGATACCTGGATCAGGCGACACCCCCCCCCACTTTGTCCACCGTCCTCCCTCTTCTGGCAGAGTGACCTTGAAGGATTTAAGTGACAGTAGAGACACTGCAGCAGACAGAGACACCGGACGCAGCACCTGGTTGTGCTGCAGGGTCTGACTTCTGTCTCTCACAGATGACACTCCACATGTATCTGGGCACAATCAATAGTTAATAGAACTATAACAGCAGGGGCAGGAAACAGGTTTTCATTTGGCTGCCACCAGGTGCCATTGTCGGCGTGATGGTCGTCACGGGGGGAGAGTCCATCCACGCTTTACTACGTTAACGTCAGAGCACAGCAGGAGGCGGCCGCACAGCCACGTCCAGCAGCTTTTCTTAATATCTGTGTGCTCTTAATATTTTAATTGAGAAATTATTTCAATTTGTGCTGACAAAAAAAAAAAAAAAAAATTAAAGCGAGTGGTGAAAACCAACCAAAATGCTTCTTTGAAGGTTGGCTGAAGTGGAGGAACGACATGGGAGTAAAAAGCAGAGGAATTAAAGTAATGCATTGGTGCTAACGCAGACCAAAAAAATAAAAACCTTGTCTGGACTAAAGTGACTGCACCCGTAATTTATAATACACGATTAAGACTTTTCATAAAAGCTGCCACCGTATCGAACTGCACCAGTGCACCCCCCCCCCCCCCCCCTCCCTACAATAGTTAAAAAAGGGACAAGAATTAAATTAGACACAACAAATTAATCCTAAATGGAATTGTGCTTTAAAGCACGAGTCTGGGATCAAATTAGATTCATAAAAAAAAACCCCAACTTAGACTAACCGTCGTTGAGGGATATTCTGAGGAAGAGAGAAGCCGATATCTAAATGAATGTTAACAAGAAGAATCCAATTCTGGAGCTGATTGCCTTATATGCAGGCAGCACAGCCAGCAGAGAGGTTTAAATCGGTGCAGGGCAAGTGAACAGAGGGGATGCCTGGAATAATGGCCTCTCATCTATTCATGGTAATTGTGTTTCCCCTTCTACAAGAATTGGTGGACCTTTCATTTCCTCCCCGGGTAGTGGGAATGATAGAGGAATGCAGGGTTTTTTGGGGGGAGTCGGGGTTGTTGGAGGAGGATTAGAGAGGATGCATCATCAGTGAACTCTCCTCAAATGGCTGCTCACACTCTGGGTTCTTAACCTCCTGCTACTGGGCAGCTTCAAAAACATGATCATTAAACAAACCTGCCTCAAACCTAACAGGAAAACAGTAACATTTCGGGAGGATTCTCAACAAGGGTTCAGTGTCTAGCAGAGCTGTAACCCTTCAAATGAATGTACTGGGTCTGCTGCCCAATCCACAGGGCGGGACCGTGGTCAAAATACAAGGAGTATGAACATTATTTGTGGGTTTAAAAAAAAAGTGACGTAGAAGTAATTTACAATAACTCTTAAGATAAGATATAAAAAAAAATGACTCAATTTCAATCTGATCAATCCCAGAGAAGCTGTTGATTAGTCATGATTTGTCCCCCTGTTTATTGCTGTATGAGAAAAACAAGTCAGTCTGAGAACTCTAACCTCAGACTCTGTCCTCAGATGACCGGGTCTTAGGATGGAGTCTGAGGTCAGAGGTCAGAGTCAGAGGTCAGAGTCCGAGGTCAGAGTCCGAGACTCACCTGTTCCAGTATGGTGTTGATTCTGTCCACTTCACAGTCGATCACGTAGCGTTTCTCCTGCCTTCTGTCCATCTCCTCAATGATGCGTCTGAACTCTCCGGCGTCCGTTGTGCTGCTGACAGAGCGGGCGGTCACCTGCCAGTTATTGGCCACTGCTGACTCCATGATGGCCTGCAGTATAGAGAAACCTAGAGAGAGAGACAGAGAGAGAGAGACAGAGAGAGAGAGAGAGAGAGGACGAAGAGATTAAAAACAACAAGAGCAGCTCATACTTTTGACAGAAAGTCATCTTCTAACGCTTAATCCTTTTCAGGGTCACAGGAGCGAATCACAGCGGTCAACGGCTGGAGAGGGTTACACCCTGGACCCCCGTTCATCACAGAGACAAACAACCTTACACATGGTGATGTTAGAGTGAACAGTTCATCTAATCCTGCATGTTTTGGGGGCTGTTGTAAGAAACCCGAGGAATCGCAGAGGAAATTCAAACTCTGTGCAGAAAGACCTGGGATCAAACCAACAAATGTTCTGCGTATAAGAGGACAGCACTAACCGCTGCGCCACCGTGTGAGCCAGGAAAAACTTAATTCACTTTCCATTATTCAGGAGAGATTCTAACTTGAACTTTGTGGTTAAAGACCATCTCATTAGAATTTAAAATTCAAAGTGCTGGAAGTGCAGACCGTAGGTGCCAGTACATACAGTAAGTGTATTGCATTTGCATGTACATTAAGCAGAGTATTAATGAGGTACAGCAAGAAGGAGATCTGCATCTCCGTGCTGATGACGGTCCGCAGATATAACTCATGATACAGCAGCGGAGTGACGAGCAGTCATTATATCTCAATATGCAGTAGCCCAGCCACATGTGAGACAAACTGAGGTCTGTGTCTCCTTGGAGTGCACGGCCCACTCTTCCAAAGATAAAGACAATGAAAGATTCATACGTGCCAATGGTAGAAATAGAGAGAGGGGGTGAGGGGACGGGGGGAGACCACGACCGGACGAATGTAGAATGAGCTCTTCTAATGATTAATTCACACGTGAAATATTTTCATTTAACAAAGTGCTCATAGTCACTGTGGTCAAATCACCATGGAGTGAATAATGTAGACCTATTTCTGGAGGGATAGATTATATGCGGCACAGGCTTAAATGAAATTTACTTAACTCTGTAATGTACAGCGGGTGAGGAGGAACAAGGAGGTTAATAATGAAAATCAAGAACACTGCTGGTAATTCATTAAGCCACGGACAATGCCGTTGCGGAGCCGGATATATACAATGCTCTCCTTGTCGATAGCTCAATTAGTTTTACATCGCAGGAAATGAAGCGGAAGAGAAAAGCGCAAAACTTTCAGCTGCTGCCCACATTCAGATCTTAATGTGACGACTGAGATAGTTCCAAGTGATTGAGTATAATGTGATTGTCTGACAGTCTGAGGAGCAGTGGTGGGCAATGTAAACATTTGTCTTCCTTTATTGTGAGCTATTTCTCCCAACAGCCTTATCTCCATAAACCCGCTGTCGAGCAAAAGAAATAAGTGCAGTCTCCTCCGAAACACGTTCGGTGACCGCGTTCATTCCTCTGCGGTAATTCTGCACACGCCGCAGCTTTGTCCCCACGTCGACTGAATGGCCGAGCCGATTTCCTGTGTCCACTTTTGGCCGCTCGGTGGCTGCCGCTCTGTGAGTGTTTGCACTCCCAGTGTGACGCCACCGGTGCAGCACGCAGCCACATGACCTTTAGCTGAGCCACGCAGTGACCAGTGAGGACCTACACACAGTATGTCAACTGTCCAGAGGAGCAGTGGCGTGTTGCCCTGAGACGGCAGCACGGCAGACCTCAAGGTTATCTGTCAAGCCCATTACCGGGTCACATCTCTGAGGAGTGGAGCCCTTAGTTTACGGTTCTAAATGTAAACCTGTAGCACAACACAGAGATTGAAGATGACAGTACATGTTTAGGCCATGGTTCAAAGAGGGATTGGCAAACCCACAATTCTGATAAATTCTCCTCCAGACAGGAAGAGGCTCAGGAACACGTCGGTAATGTTGCAGTGTAGAGATCTCCTCCAGACAGGAAGAGGCTCAGGAAGACGTTGGTAATGTTGCAGTGTAGCCTAGAGATATAAAGAAAATTAAACCAAAAAGTAAAATGAAAAACAGAAGATTACTTCCTGAGTATCATCATTTTTACATGAGCAAAACCGCCCTCCTACCTGAAGAAGAAACTTGAGAGAGTGAAGGTCTGAATAAATCACTGCATTATTCATTTTCCACAAGCACACGCTCAGAACCTCCCTAAGCACAAAGCAGCGGGATGGCAGTCTACATGGCAGTCTTCCCGGCAATGAACCCACCTCTTTTTGAGAAGATGTCACGTCGATTAAATGGGTCAAATCACTCTCGGTTGGTTTGCAGCGTCAGGTTTACGGCCGGCGCAGGTAGAAATGCCAGCAGTCCATTTACTGTACCACCGGGTAATCTCAGTGGGCGGGCAGCGTGACGTGCATATGGGTCATACTGACAGACGGCATTACAGTATGTTTTAAGTGTGTTTGTATTCTGTTGTTTACTGTGGTGACTCACTGATGTACAGAGATTAATGAAAGGACAAGTGTTTGTTTTTAAAATATGCATTTGTTATCTCCAGATCTGAAGTACACACATAATTAGGGCTGTCAAAGTAAACATGTGAACTGTAATAATTAATTTGCGTAAAAGATCAGATTAGAAATGTGAACCCATTGTAACGCAGTCACTGAATAACAACAACATCTATAGCCAATCATTGATTTCATTTCTCCAAATGCAGAGTCAATACGTTTGATGTCCTTGATGTCACTGCAGCAGGAGTTTTCATTTCACTGAAGCACCTCGAGGTCAAAATACCATTTCAATTTCAACATTTTTTCATTAAATGCTGCAGTAATTTCTCACTCAAAGAGCATTTCATCTTCTGATATGTCGCAAAAAACCCCATGATTTATGGGAACTCAAATGTGACAGAGAGAGAGAGACAGAGCTTTGTCAATCAGATTAGAATAACCAGGGATTTTATTTTGAAATTGCTGATTTGTGCAGCGCTTGTCCCCGTGCCTCCAGTGCACCCTCAGCTGTGTTGGAACAATTGAATTCATGCAAGATTCACAGAAGATTCCATGCCTGCCTGGTTTTACATTTGTATGGAAATTAAGAGATGTAATCTGCTGGTAAATGTGTGTCTAGAAACGAATGGCTTCTTTGGTTCTCATGTATTTATTTTGACTGTGAAAGTCAGCAGAAAAGTTTGCCTGTTTGCGATTCGGACAGAAAAATAATACGTGAACACAATCCTTGGAGCACAATTTGATCTGACAACGGGAGCACTGATAGTTTCTACTTTATATATCTACCAGTAAAAAAAGGTAAAAAAAAAGTATTTTTAACTTCAAGTTCACCTTCCACCACACATTCAAATCATATTCATTGAATTCAGCCAGTCTACAACACAGACCTCATAAAAGTTGTGGTCTTTACATCATCTGTTGCGAGGCATTATAAAATCCCATTCACCTGTGTGGTACCCACCTCTGGAGTACCACAGCTCACTGGCATGTACAACTGTAATACTGTCAACTTCATATATTATGTAAGACAATAATAGGTTTTCCTTATCACCACCTATAAAGGCTGATGTATGAATGCAGCAGTTCCTGCTCCTCCGAGCCGAGGACGACGAGACTCCGCGGACATCTTTGACTCAGTCATCACTCGTAAAAAGTTACGTCCTGTGTGTACGACGTATTAACAAAAGCATCAACTTCAGAGTGGTGTCATTTATATTTCCACACCACTGGACCCCATTTTGAATCACAATTTTCTGGCCAACCCCAGACACATTAGTAGCTGTCATGTGATCGTCAATCACAGTGCACCAGCGCAGATATTTTTATAAGCTACGTTTTATCTGATTTATATTCATGTAAGTGAAAAAATGTGTTTATGTTATTAATCATCAATATTAAAAGAAATAATTTGCTGAAAAATTTTTTTTTTCAGGTGACCCTATTTGAATACTAGATGACTCCACATGGGGTCACAACCAAAGGTTGAAAAACACCGTTATACATGAAGGCACAGCACAGAAGGTGGTCGTCAAGTACTTGATGAAAAGGGGTCATCTTTGACCCAAAAGGTTGAAGGTTCAATTGCAATCTTCGCTCACTGTTGCTTACAGTTACCCAGCCATGAGAGGGCGCCTGAGTCCGTGTGTCCTTTAGTTCTGGGCCATATCCTAAAAAACTGGCCATTGGGCCAAACCATTAAGTATGCAGCTGTGCTTTAAAGACCCCTGAAGGAAACTACAGCTGAGTGTAATAAAAGCTGACTTCTCATTTACAAACATTTAGATTCGTGACATGTTTATACAGTATATATATATATATTTTAATTATGTGCTCAGTATTTACCAATGCATATTTAGCCAGGCCATAAGTACCACGGTTAAGAACTCATTTAGTTTTAAACTGAGTAGCTCTCCTGAATCCCAAAATGTATTTGGAAAAACATTTTACTGACAATATTAGTAGAAAGGAGAGAGAAACAATGGTGATTCTACTGGTTTAGAAAATGACTCTTATAATTGAATCCAACAGTTGCTGCGACACAGTAATTCACCCCAGGATCATCTACTGATTCTTTTAGCTTCTACTTTATTACTATTAGGAACTAAAACTCTACTGATTCTTTTAGCTTCTACTTTATGACTATTAGGAACTAAAACTCTAAAAAAATGTTAACAGTCGATGGTTGTGGTCTGGTACATGCCCGATACTGTATAAATCTTATGCTATACATTTTCAATGGCAGACTGACGTGGACTGCAGGCAGGCCAAGTGTTGAAAGCCATACTTTTGTATCCTCTAACATCATGATTGATGTCTTGTCTTGATGAAAGCATAATAATGAAATACTAATAGATTAGAAATCACGGCCACTTCTACACATTTCCTTCAACCCATGACTTTTGATGCTCGTCACCATAACACTGCACCCTTTGTTGTAAACAATCAGTATGATCTATGTCCAACACCAGCATTTGGAATTATTCCTTTTTGTATGACTCAGTCTTGGTAACGTTCTTTCGTGCTCCGTGGCCAGTGCTTTTTTTTGTTTCTTCTCATAGGCATGGTATTCTAATGAA